CGAATTTTAGACGACAAGTTAAAATGTTAAGTTTAGTCTTTGAACTACCAATATTGTGATTTATAGCCGTATAATCCGAATGACAATTAAACTCTGTAAATATGCGACTTTTTCTTTATCGGTCACCGTACTATGATATATTCTGCATCTCATGTGCTGTATTTTAACATTTATTTACAAGCATGCTGCATGTTTACACATTCAACAATATACCGAATCTAAATAAAGCTTTCTTATAAAAAATAAGAAGATGAAGTATGATTGGTAATGAGACAACTATCAACTAGAATTCAAAATACCTGATATCAGCAACTGTGACCTACTTACTTTCTTTAGTAAGAGTGATCGTAGATTAATCGGATACGTGCTGGAGAGGGGGGTGAGGCTTCATATTAAAAAAAAATAGTAGTAGTTTTTTTTGTGATAAATAATTTATTCACAGTCACAGACATTTATACGATAAATAAGCTCTTGAAAGCTCAAGGCAACTTTTAACTGGTAATTAACGCTGCGCCGGGTCTATGAACCAGGAGCTCATCAAAAATTGACAAATTATCTTTCGATTAAAATTGATCGTACACACGGCTCGACACGGCTCTTCTTGATCTTAAACGTAAACATATATGCTAAGTTTCCTTTTCCTGCATTCCTCGATCGCACTTGTAAAAATTACACTGCACAGTAGAATACTGTAACAACAACAGCACTCGACGTCAGTATCATGATTGAGTACCCAAAAAATGGAAAATTATACAATAAGAAGGCACAGAAAATTCAAATACTGGTATGCACACACACTAACATGTCACTGTAATCAACCACAATCATGATCTTTTTGTTTTGTTAATGTGCCAAAATCGTTTATTGCGCAGGACAACGATGGGGAAAATCCACCAAATTGGAATAGTTCGCCAAATGAGTAACTTTCCCGCACTTTTGTAAAGTTTTTGTAATACACATTTTATATTGGAATGGCACATATTCATGAAAAATCAACAAATGATCCGAAAGTCGGAAAGATGAATAGTCTTAGGACTCCATGCAGTAGGTAACCCCTGGAGGTCGAGAGGTCATGGTTATAAATTGCCTCAGGTCACAATGACGTCACTAATCAAAATGAAATAACATGTAACAGACAATTTATCTCCGGGGTGGGGGGCACTTCAATACTTAATTGATATGGGGTGCCGCTGGGGTTCTGTTACTCCACCCTTTTCATATAATTTAGATCTTTAAAATGTATACCTTTTCATATATTGCGTAGGTAAAAATATTTGAGGCTAACATTTCCTTGTGTAATGTCTACTTACGGTGAGACTTTCGGCTGTGAAAAAATGACAGAGCTTTTCATATCACAAGTAATTGGAACTTTATTGACCTTATCATATATTTCTGATAGTTTTCCCCACCTATTCACATATTTTCAAGCTGGAAAACGTGACCTATCCCAGCGGCACGTCCTATCACCTTGTATATAGGAAGTGGCCCCCCTGAGCAATTTACATCCTTAAATACAACATAATTTTGTTTTGGTTATCATGGTTATGAATATCTTTCTTTAAATTTTTGGATAAATATTCATAATTAGACAAATTCTGGCAAACTTTCAGTTAGCCATCTGCAGTAGGCCTATCCCCAACAGAGACCAAATGATGTACAAATAAGCTATAGATAACCGTACGACCATCAACAATGAGCAAACTCCATACCATCTAGAAAGCTTTAAAAGGCCTCGAAATGACAAATGTAAAACAAATTAACAAGAATTTTTTAACAGCCTGACATTTATAATTTGGGCAACTTTTTAGAATTTAAAAGCCTGAATACTGTAAATTTCAGAAATTATTGCATGCATTTATTATTGTGAATTTTTAAAAATTGGATGCGAGATAATTTATATAACTGTAATTTCAGGAAAATCTGCATACAGAATCTGATATATGTATCAGATATAAGAATGCGATACAACTCCCAGTCGCATTATTCACATAAAACAAAACTCACAATAATGGCTGAAATTACAGTTTTGTAAGATTCTCAAAATGTACACTTGGAGCTGTGAATCTAACGTTACTCGTGTTAATTAACTTATGTTTTGAAATGGCCCTATTGCTCTGTATAGTGCAATGAATTCAGGTATATGCCAATACCTCTTTGATTCTAAAGTCAAATCAATCTTTCGCATGTACAAACACATACGCTCACACAATAGGCATAATTATGGTCCTCAAAAATAAGCGGTGTCTATGATATATGACAAGATCTTAATCAAGTATTAAAAAAAAGATGTAAAGTTTAGTTCTATATGATGTTTAGGTTTTAAAACATAAATATAGTGCAGCAGGATCTACTTGCTCTCACTGAGCACATGAATTCACCCCCAGTTTTTTGGTGGTGTTGGTGTTGCTTAGTCTTAAGTTTGTTAATTTAGTGTTTTGCTTTTCTTTTCTGCATCTTGTTTTTTGCATTGGCATTGTCAGTTTCTCTTAGTCTTATCTTTGTAATGTTAATTAATTAAAAGAATAGACAAAAAAAATATGGAAATTCAAATTGGCTTAGTTCAGTGGATATTAATGATATAGTTAACCAAACAAAAAGCTGAAAAAGAAAAGCAAAAACAAAATTCCTTTTTTTATAGCCTATTGTCTGATAGTCTAGAAGTTAGTCAGTTTTGCTCCGACGCCCCTGAATTTTAGCAGGCACTTAATTGCAATTTTGGAATTCAAGCAAACCATATAGTATCTTCGATAGTCTTTGAATTTTATCAATGTGATTGAAATACATTAATCATAAAATTTTCATGAAACTTTGGTGAATTGTTTATATATATTAACATAATTTCCCTTTCAATTTTTAAAAATTTCTGATTTTAGTTTTTTTAGTTTTGGGACTTGAGACAATAACTCAAAAATACTTTCACCAATTTTCATGAAACTTTGGTGAATTGTTTTTATCTATTGACGTAAACTTCCTTTTCATTTTTATAATTTTTTTTTCTTATAAATTGCAGAGTTATGGAATTGTGTTTGTTGAAAAATCGTTGAAAACTGTACATTTTCACACTCTGGACGGTTCTAGAATTTTATTTGTTCAAAAATCAAGGCCACAAACTTATATATGGCAAACCGTTCTCGCCAAAACTATGTTTAAACCATTTTTCGAAAAAATTACACACTGAGAATTAAAAAAAAAACACACTGAGATTAAAAAACCTTAAAACACACACTGAGAATTAAAAAAAAAACACACTGAGATTAAAAAACCTAAAAACAAACACTGAGAATTAAAAATTACACACTGAGATTTCATAAAGACGCACTGAGATTACCATAAACATGATAAATGAAAAACACACACTGAGAATTGAAAATTACAAACTGAGATTTCAAAAAGACACACTGAGATGAAATAAACTGAAAAACACACACTGGGAATTTAAAATTACACACTGAGATTTGTGCGCACTTTTTATGCGCACATATCTAATTAGTATACTTAATCTGAATCTATTAGAAGCTTTAAACAACTAGGAGACATAACTCGTTAGTCCTTCAATTTGGCGCTAAATGTTTTATGAAAAACATTAGAAATACAACATCTAGAAAAACTACGTTATTACAGACCAATAGAACAAGAAAAATACCCACTTACTCTCATTACAAAATATAACCATTAAAATTATAAGAAAACATTGGAACAATCTGTAAAAAGACAATGCAGTGAAATTTTTACCCAAGAGCCTATTATAGCATATAAACGTAACAAAAATATAAAAGATTACTTTGCGAAAAAACAGTTGAAAGACTTTTGAAAAGGGACACATGCTGAAACAGTTTTAAGTAAAAAAAAATCCAGATACACTGTTAGTAATAATCTAAATTATTGGCAACAAAATTATGAATATGAGTTAGCAAAAAACGATGTTAAGTCTTGAAATTTATTACTAATGTTGGAAGGAACGGCATTTCATTATAATGACGAGAGTTCGGGAGACCAAGATATTAATCTGTTGAATTATTCATCTCATGAATACTCATTAGTAATATGCATATTAATCTCAGTGTGTAATTTCTTAAATCTCAGTGTGTAATTAACAATTCTCAGTGTATGTTTTTCAATTTATTTTATCTCAGTGTGTCTTTTTAAAATCTCAGTGTGTAATTTCAAATTCTCAGTGTCTGTTTTTAATTTTTTTAAAACTCAGTGTGTAATTTTACACAAAAGTTAAAATATTATTTCAAACTACGGAACAATTGCTGCTCTATGTGAACTTTGCATAAAGGAGTTGAAACCTCAATTTTTTTAAAACAATTCATGAATTTATAAACGGGCAATTTTAGAAAGGTTTTTCATACATCAGGCATGTATCGAAGTACTGACACTACTGAGCTGTTGATACTACCGAGATTGAAAGTCCACCGACGGCGGTATCGACTCAGACTTGTGAAAATAAAACAACACTTTATACATTTCCTGCGTCCAAAGCGCTTTTTCTAAATTTACGTTCCTCAGAAACGCTCAAAGTTGAATGTTTAAAAGCCAAGGATGTATAAGAACCGAAACAGTTGAAGAGCTACATGACAAAAAAAAACAATGATAACAGTGATTTTTCAAATCAAACAGTTGGAAAACAACCTTTATTACGAAGTTGAAGAAAGCACACATTATGATAAGTTGTTCTAAATATGTATAATCTTAAGTCTTAGGGTAAAAAAACCTTAATGTTTCGATTTTTTAAGTTTTATTTACAGTTACATTTACTTAAAGACACTTACAGTGGTTTTTTGATAGATGTACATTTGTATGCACATGACTGTGCTCATCATAAAATTTAAATCAACTGTCTTTGTAGATTTGAGTTCATTTGGGTCATATATTCAAATGTTTACACATTTATTCAGTAAGACTCATCCCACGCGCCAAATCTATTAACGTGTTTGTGTATTGTGAAAATGATAATTGTTTGTACTAAACTCATGTTTCCTTCTGAACTCTAATAAACCTTTTATTGTATTTCAGATTTAACTTGATAATTGGATTGACATTAGTAGCTTCTCTCCTACTCGTATCATTTACACAATACAACTCGGATACTTTTTTAAATGTTCCAAATCTGGAGAAAGTTATATTTGATATTCAACATAACCGACTTTCACATGTCAATCCGTTGAATGATTTCAACGAGAAATATATCTACAAGATAAATCCTGCCAAATCAATGAGTAAAACTACAGGTCGAGATTCCTTGCAATTGTTATTTATAGTAAAATCATATATTTTAAACTTTGGCCAACGAATAGCTATACGTCAGACATGGGGAGGTAGGACATCACTTCGATCAAAAACTGTTTTTATTATTGGATACCTTGATGGAATTAATCATTTGATTAAAAAAGAATCAAAACATTATAAAGATATTGTTCAACTTAACGTTTCAGATCAGTATGACAATGTAGTTTATAAAACGATTTATTCTCTCTTATGGTTATCGCACGGCAATACAGAAGCTGAATTCATCTATTTTGTGGATGACGACCGTTTAGTCAATCCGATAAACATTTACGATGTTGCAACTAACAACATTGGATCAGCAGAATTGGTAATGGTAGGCTATAAACTTGATGCAGTGAGACCAAGTCGACATAAAAGTTCCAAAACTTATCTTTCATCCAAAGACTATCCATTTTCTTTTTTCCCGCCATATATAATTGGAGGAACTATTTTGACAAATATTAAAACTGTAAGAATGTTAGCAATTGCAATATCATTTCTTAAGGTTATTCCAATAGAAGATGCATATATTGGAATAGTAGCAAAATCGGTCAATATCAAATTCAAACATCATCATAGGTTTTTACCGTTTAAGCAGTCACCATTTACCTTGTGGAACACGGCGTCATCTCCTGGTTATGAAACGACGTATAGTCTACTTATGGATTGGCATTTGATAAGGACAATGAACAGCTGAATATAAACAGTAAATACAGTAATACAAAATGTATCATATGTCTTGAATGTTTTGAATTATTTAACACAAAAAAATGAAAGCGCAAAGCAAAAAATGTAAATGTCTTTTTCATGTGAATATAGGCTTGAAAAACAGATATATCAGAAGGAGTGTTTGGAATACATATTCTAAACTAGTTTTGGAATAAAACGGTTTTCTATCAGCCGTTTTTTTTTTTTTTTTAAGATACATATTGTATTTTATTGTCTGTGCACATACTGTTATTGTACATTAAAGAGAAAGAATACATAAATAATGTACAATGGCTACATCGATTTCTTAAAACAGTGATACAGATATATGCCCGAATAGCTTTAAAACATGTTTTATGTATGCATTGTATATAAATAAACTCATCATAGATACCAGGAAGTAGCGTCTTGTTACTGTGAGTACTCTTAAATCGCTATTTTGTATCTTTTGCATTTTAATATTTCTTCTTCGGGCTAGATACGGATCATCAAATGAGTCAATCCACTTCCATGTGGTTGTATTGTCAATTTGCGAATATGCTGTGTTTTAACACAACTGTCCTATGTTTGAGGGATGATTAAGATCTAAAATCGTGTAATACACTGCAATGTTCCTTATTCGCTCGTCCCACTCCAGTAACAATTAATGTTTACAGTAGTGGTTGTAATCACTTGCTGTCATATGGTACTTATAGATGGTTGTATCATGAAAAATAATATCACTTCTCATGTTTGCATAAGGAGCAATTTTCAAAAATTTTTGTTTATAAGTTGTGGTCTATTCTAATCGTGTTCACCGTCCCCATAGAAATATAGTCCCAGTTGTCATGTTCTCCCTTGATACCTTATTTTTGTAAACAATGACAAAGTTAAAGAGCTAACTGGAAGAAGAACTTCAGGCTATTGATGGATTCAGTTGAGGACTATGTAAACCGCGAGCAAAATGAATAAAAACTTTAAACAAAGTCTTAAAATGCTAAATGAAACAAAGCTATATTTGATCATGATTTCAGAAGCACATTCATTACTATTCAGTATCTTTTCAGACATTAAGTATGCTATTGTTTGTACAGGTAAATAACAACTACTTATGGCATCTGAAATAATGACTCCAGAACGAACACCAGAGTCATTATTATGTTGTTTTAAAGTATCAACACTTTTTCAACCGCAGAGTTAATCCACCTCTATATTTGGCTTTCATAGTGTAGACGAGTTGAAGCAAATATTTTTCTGGTCGAATGATTCACTTTGCACCTATCATGACAGCTTGAGTTGTTGCCTTATTCTTCATCATTATATCTAGTTTGTTTTTTTCTCTAGCGGCTAATTACTGAACCATATCTCATCTTTATTTTTTTTTAAATTGAATCATTTTGAATCTTGGTAAAGGAGTATGGCCACGAAGTGCCGATATTGGCCCTGTGAAATGACAAAAAATACAAAAAAAATAAGGTGGATCCGTTATAGCTAATACAAATCGTCGTATATCGTTATTTGTAATTATATAGTAAAAAATCATATTTTTATGACGTCATTAATGTAACGTAATACCCGGAATCAAACTGGAACGCTCAGAATATCAAAATACTTAAAGAATTTCAAACTTGCTGGTTTAATTTCGCATTGGCCACAGGCCTCGACCAAAGTAATTTTAATCTTCTTTTAATTGTTTGACACTTTGACTTAGTTTGCTAAAATATTTAGCGTGGTCGAGGCCTGTGGCCAAATCGAAAAAATTAACTTTTAATAATAAGCGAATCCTGATGTGACGCTGTCGTTTCCGAGGCATAATATGATAGATTGCAGGACGAAATAACTGTACAAACAATCACAATTGCTATACATTTTATAATTAATCATATTTTCTGTTGATATTGGAATTGCCTTGCGCAGCACGATCCAACAGAAATATGGATGTCAAAGCAGTTTTGCCACGTCAAGTGCTGGCATATCGTAATTTTTATTTTTCCTGGCAGTACTGTAGACCATTATGTGAATCTCTTCTTGCTACTGAAGTATGATTTTCTTGCAGAATATTAAGTCAACAATAATTTACAGATGAACAAATAAAAAAAGAAGAAAATGGAATAACAAGTAACGTTAAGTCTTTGTATATTGCCCAAGGAGGTTTTCAAACACGAAAAGGAACGGTTTTTATAAGAATACAAGCCAAATTGGTGGAAATAAAAATTATTGTGAATTTGCAAATTATTTAAGAGCTCATTTCAACGTTATATAAAAAGGTTATTTTGTAATAATTATCCCGGTCTTTGCTATGCAAACAAAAATCGGGCAGTTTTAAATTAGAGTCGTAGTTTTTCTCCGTAAAATTCTACATCTAGCAGATCGATATTGGTGTCAACATTAAAACTTAATACCCATTTCATTAAGATACACGTATCTTGTTTTATAAATGACGAAATCGTCGAAATGTAACCTCCGTGGAATGTAAGATTCTCATGTTCACGCTTTGGTGAAGAATGTTATCTTTCACGTCCGCATTTCTATCAAGTATGGCATGCCAAGTTAACATTTTAAAATAACGGATGGTGAAAATAAATTACAGAAATATGAACAATAACATACATTGTAAATCGAAGGACATATGAAGAAACCACGTGACAATTTAATATCATATTGCACAGCGGCTTAATTTAGAGAAGCTTTTCAATAAATTTTTTGTTAAAATAAAAATTACGACGCCGGTTGGAAGGGCATGCATGGCGTATAATATCCGTAACAGTTATCCAGGACAAATATTTGTTTGCAAATGAAAACTATAATAAAGATGACAAAACAAAACTATCCGACACAATGATATATCTTTTGTAACTTCAAATAAATATCAGATATTCAAGTGGGATGGGGTGATTAATTGGTAAGACTATATACAAGTAGCAGTTGTTTATTTTGTCTTTTTTTGGTGGTCTCTTTTAAAATTTGATTATATTATGATACAGCTGACCAACAAAAATGGCTGCTTACTATAGATACAATATCTATGAGATATCTTTATATTTCTGATTTTTTTTCGGTTTATGTGTTGGGCCGAGGTTAGTGTTCGATCTGTAGTTCCCTGTTTTTTAATTTGTCATTGATGTTTGTCTTTTTGTCGCCTTTTTTGTTCATGGTGTTGTATCTTTTTATTGGACTTATGATTCTTTATTGCCCCTCCCCTTTTTTTTGAGACTTTCCTCTCATTTTCAATGACAACACGTGCACTTTCTTGTTTCTTGTTTGATATGCATTCTCTAAATTGCTCATATATATATATATGCATGAAGTATATGCCACTGGACGTTCGTTAATTAACAATCAATCATATCTTCTTTAAAATTACAGTACTATAATGACTTTAAATATTATTAAATGATTGATAAAAGATTCGTTAAATCTTGTGAGCAGATATATACACGTCTATTATTTAAAGTTTTTGGAAAAAAGAGAAAAAAAAAGAATATTGAAATAATTTTACTACATATATACGTACATGGGTTGTTTGTCTCGTGATGATGATGATGGATGACTGTTTAACGTCCAGCGGCAATATGAATATTAACCCTGCTTCGTACTAGACCGACACGCTGAGCCGAATTTTTAACGTGCATTTTCACAAGGTAAAAGTCCGAGGAAAGACATATTAATCCACCGGACACAATTTTCTGACTTGGAGCCGAATATTCTTTGCTCTTATCCCTTAATGCTGCGTGATTAGCGGAGAAGCACATACAAATGTTAAACTCTTTGGTTTGACCCGGCCATAGGTTTGCACACACGACCTCCAGCACTCGAGGCGGACACGCTTCAACGATACCACCGAGGCTGTGTTTGTTTGTCTTATGAGTGGTGAGCTGTGTGGGAAAATGCCTAAGAAAGGAAATCTGTGCGCCAAAATATGCATATTATTTTAAAAGATGAATATTTAATATTCGCTAATGAACTAAAACAAACAAATCTGATTATTAATATGTTTTAACATCTATGTGGTCTGTCTGCTAAGTACCGAACGTGACCTATTTCCGAATATGACTGTCATACCGAGTGTGAATTTGCATTGCTATACGACGTGTCCCGGTATTTTGTACATCCAACATTCATGTATTTATTGTTGATGTTTCTGTTATGGTTTCGGTTGCATAATCTGTTATGTTTTATCGTTTATAGTCCAAATAATTATAAAATTGCCTTTCCATAACACCATTGTCATAAAAATTGTTTTGAGAGTATTGTGAAAATAATTGTATAAAGTTCGAGATTGCATTTTAGTTATGTAAGCGCGTCACTGTTTTTGATATTCTGTGGTGTTTGTCGTTGATGGAATATGTTCGTTGTTGTTCTGCGATTTGCATGTTGTGTCGACTACTATATTGTTTGTTTGTGAGTTTTCTGTGATGAATGTTCTTGCGTGTGTTTGTTCTGTATTTCTGTCACGTAGTGTTGTCATTTAAGCGATATATTTTTAACATTGTCATAAAGCGGGAGGATTGGCTAGCCATAAAACCAGGTTCAACCCACCATTTTTCTTAAAATGTCCTGTACCAAGTCAGGAATATGGCAGTTGTTATCAAATACTTCGTTTCTATGTATGTTGACGTTTGTTTTTGTTGCACTTCAGTGTTGATAGTTGATGTGTTTCCTTCGGTTTTAGTTTGTGACCCGCATTTGTTTTCTCTCAATCGATTAATGACTTTTGAACACCGGTATACTACTGATGCCTTTATTTACTTGTATAGCTCAGCCATATGAAATAATACTTTACATATCATCATAAATAAAATTAGGTTTTATTCTTAGCTGTATATTTTTATGCGCATTCAATTAGTGGTTTTCTTACATGACTGTTTTCCCAGCTTATTATACAATTTGTAGTTTATTGAGTGTACCTTCAAACCTTAATGCAGAACAGGCGCACGCGTAGCAAGAGTATGTGCGCACATTGCCTCTATACTCTGTATCTAGGGTATGCAAGACATAATCGGGACATCACATATGGAGTCCAGAATTGGGCAGCGCTCTTTAAGAAAGTGACAGTGAGCAGAGTGTAGTAGAAGAATCGAATATTACTTTCATCATATATTGTAAGGTTAAAGTCCCATTGACGTTTATCTCAGTATTCCTCTTACTCATCTTTTTGAAATCTATTTGATTATACCGTATTTACTTTTTTGCAACTAAGCAAACTTTTTGAAAACTCTTAAAGCATTTCTATTGGTGAATATGACATATCCATGAGACAAAGTTCACATTTCATGTCACTTCAATTAAAAGAAACAAACATATAGACTATAATAACTGATCTTGTGTATAAATCATAGATGTTTATAATTTTAAATAATACATAACTTAAACGGACACAGTTTACAAACACTTATATCCTCACAATCAACACC